TTAGATATTTATTATTTATTGACATCTTTATGGTTATGCTTGATATATTTCCTTTATTTTATATTTTTAAATATGTATATGAAATTGGGAAATCAGTGACAGAAATATGATTTAAAATTGTTTCTAAATACAAATGAAAATTTAGAAGAATCTGACAGCATATTCCATTCAACATTTCTCTATTTTTTCTTATGTTTTTTTGTTTGTTTTATTTTTTGAAAATAATGAATTGTAGAATTATTCAAAATATATAAGAAAATATGATTTAAAATTTATATTGTTATTGGAGGACTTATAGTTTAAAAGAAATATAAATTAAATTTAACCTTAAATCATTCTGAATTTTTGGAACAATTTCAAATCAAATTTTAATAAATATTTATGTATTATTTCTATATATATTCATATTTTGATTCACATGAATATAATAAGTTGAATATTTATTTTAAATTATGAAATATAAATAAAAATGGTTTTCATACGAGTGTGAAATTTATTAACTATTTTAAATCAGATATAAGTGAATAATTCCCCAATTTCTTATACCTAAATATCTAAAATTGTTTTATTTATTTACTCATTTATTTAGATAATTTACATCACACATACATACATACACTTGTCTAATGAATATTTATTTCATTTTGGTCAGTTTGATAAGGAGTCTTAAAGAGTAGTGTAGCTGTAAGGCAGCCTGATATCGCCTCAATAATTAATGGGGAAACAAGGGCAATTAACGATGTTGGAGATTCGTAATCAATTCGCGCATTTGCAGACGTCGCAGACGTCGAATAAATTGTTAATAGTCTGCCCTATGCTGGGCCCCTCCCCCATGGCCGCCCGCGGGCGTCCCCAACTCTTACCTTGGGCGAGAACAGACACGCAATCGTCACGCTGGCAGACAGGCTAATGGTCACTGACATGCTCGTTATGCGGAGCGGCACGTGGTTGGCGGTGCCGAAGTAGAGCGGCACAAAGGCCAGCCAAATGACGCAGGTGGTGTACATGGTGAAGCCTGGAACGAATTAGCAGATTGAATAGGCATTAAGGGCAAGGACTATTATAATTTAATCGCGGCTTGTAGCAGCATCCGCTGCCATTAATAATGAACACTAGACAGACAATAAGGAGCCACAATAAAGTAGATAAAAGTTTACACAAATATTTAATATCAACTTTAAGATTGTACCAAAATTTAAGAGCCATTTACAGGCAGGTGTGCATTAAAAATAAGTATTATTACTCACCGATATGCTTTGATTCGTTGAATGCCTCGGGTATCTTGCGGGTGAGCACCGCATAGACAGTGCAGACCACAATCAGGACGATGGGATAGGAGAACGCAATCATATAGGAGGCGTCGATGTACGAGTCGCACACCAGCAGATTATCCTCGCGCACCGGATAATGATGTATGGCATGAGACGGGGCAATTACCATCCAAACACCATTAATGAGTATCTGCAGTGGCAAACGAGTCGCATCAGTAGAGCAGCTAGCGTTAGCAAGCATTACGCCTCCTGCACTCACCTGGACGCTGATGAAACACGTGCAAATCACCAGCTGCGATTTGGGGCTAATGAACGAGGGCCGTTTGGCCGACTGTTTGCCAGCCTTGAAGATGCGTGCTATGCGATTCGTTTTGGTCAGCAATGCGGCATAGACGACCGTGAAGCAGAAGCCCACTGCGAACCTGCAAGCAAGCGTTGTAAAACAGACGAAGCTGGTACACACACACACACATACACATACACAACGACACACACTTACCGTTGAATGGCGCAGACAATGTTGGTTGGCTTGAGGACGAGGGCAAAGGTTACGCCGTAGCACATAAATATGCCAGCCAGAAGAATGTAGCTCAGCTCACGACCCGAGGCGCGCACAATGGGCGTGTCGTTGTGCCTGAGGGGGTGGGGGCGGGGCGAGGTGAGGCAGCAGCAAGAGAGCAAAACAAAGTTATAATAGTTATACACAACATATTTATGTATATGTATATGTATATATGTATGTATGTATATGTATTTTATATATGTATATGCCAACGGCAATTAAAATGACTTTTGCTGTTGCAACTGGATTGAAGACATAAAACTTTTTAATTGCCACATATAAAAAGATGTGGAGTAACAGCTACAGCTGCATGTATACATACATACATATATACGCATAAAAAAACACCTACGCCTCGCCTACGACTCACCTGACAAACACGCCCACCACAAAAAGCGTTATCAATATGCCAGTCGCACTGAAGGCCATGGCGCCAATGGCCCAAGCGGACTCGGGTCGCAAATAGACCTCCGGAATGGGTCGGCAATACTCCTTGTGCGTATCGGGTAGCGTGCAAAAAAAGCAGAGCACACACTGCGTTTCGTCATCGGGATGGCGAATCTGACAAAAAAAAAAAAAAAAAAATTTCACAAATTAAATATGTATATATAATCAGAGAGCAAGTTCCGAAATAAAAAAAGTGGGCAACTTAAAGAGACTTAAATTGAGCCAAAAGTACAAAGTAATGAACGAAAAAAATAAGTAGCTTAAGTGCTTAAATGCATTTTACATAAATGAAACAAAGTAAAATAAAAAAATTGCTGTACATGGATGGCGCGGAGATATCCTAGAGAATGAGAGCTGTGGAAAAAAAAAAGAAAGGTAGGTAGGTAGGTAGGCAGCTAGCCAATATATAATAATTTTCATAAACACAAAAAGGTATACAAAAAATAACTTGAAGCTCTTAATTGAAAAAATATTTGAGAATATGTTAAATAGAAAAAAAAAAAATAAAAATAAATAAATAAAAAAATTAACAGGGCAAGAAACTTTTTTATAATAGATAAATAGATAAATAATTAAACAATAAAAAATAA